AATGTAATTTATACAAATTATAAGAAGTACATAACAATAACATAATATCTCTCACACTGTCGCTACTCAATCAAATCCATATATGTATATTCGAAAGTTAAACGTAATCGATAATTGGTTGATCGAACAGGTACACAAAAAGTGTCTCTGTGTTATGTATTCAAAGATACTGTTCCATATTTAATTGATGTCAATTTTATTAGTAGGTTAGATGGTTTCATACTCCGGAGTTATCGATATTTTATAGGAAAAGTGAGGTCGAACGTAATATAAATGTGGACGGCGTATAATTTTTATTACTTCTTCTATTGCCTCCTTAAAAGTCCACCGGCGTACACTCGTACACCCTTCACGGTTTTTGCTGGAAACCTCAAGACACCCGTATATCACGCGATTGCCGACCCTCCCTATTTCAAGGCGTTTATCGAAGGTCAAATAGCCTTCGGGAGGATACAGATTGTGGATCGAATCCTTTTAGTTTCAATTCAAACTTCCGAAAATGTTTGTCCAACCAAACGACGAGTTCGCTAAAAGAAAATCAAAACGGATACGCTGTTCGTTAAAGGGTAAAAGCGTCGTAAAAATGAAACTTCCTTCCTCTGTGTGCGTTCATTGAAGGAGTATAAAAACGTCGAGAAGTAAAACGATGCAGTAAAACAAGACAATGTCTGCCTGCAAAGGAGCATGTGGAAATATAAAACGTTTCACTTGCTAGTTCTAACTTCTGTCCTTGTATACGCGGGAGTACATCGGATCCATTGTATATCTGGCAATGAACCTCCTCGTAGATGGAGAAAGGCGTCAATATACGTGATTTACCAGATCCAGTTTCGTACCTGTATTGAAAGAGAAGTGGAAATGATGCGAGATACAGTTTTTCCCTCGCTTCGTGGCTATATAAGAGAGTCGATGCCGGTGATCGGCTGCAAACCATCCTTAGTCGTGCCTTTACAGTAGGAAGAGGATCAAATGAAGAAGCTGGTGAGTCGTTCGTTCACTTTGAAATTTGTCCAAGTTCATACGAAACTTGAATAAGTGACGGTGACATAAAAAAAAAAAAACACGATTCCTAACTTCTTCAGATCGTAATCGCCATGATGGCGGTGGTCGTCACCGCGTACAAGAACGCAAGAAGAAACAACGCTGGATCAGCCTTCGAGGAATTTCCACCTTATCAAAGAACACGTCAGCACCCGCTTCTTTACGAGCAACATCATCCGTTCCGGGAGCAATTGATTAAAACGCAACAGTATCAATCCCACCGACGTCGCCCCAATCGCCAGGACTTGTTCCCTTATCTCGGTCAGCAGTCATTCGGAGATCAATCCTTGTTGAAAGGTCATTCTTCCGACTTGAAGAGGCACTCCTCGTTCTTTCCGGACGGTATACTGTTGAGGAACGTACACGACAAAGACGGGATGTTGTTCGGAAAGGAACAGATCATCGAGGATCAAACGAACGATCAGCAAGCACTTCGCGATGATTTTCGATTCGCTGACTTGTTCGATAAGACAACTGGCTCGTTGAAGGGACAATCGGGACAGCTACAGTCCACCGGTTCATTTATCAGGGATCCAGAGTATTTGAAACACGGTAAGTGTCCTAAATAAAATGAGGGCACCTTTTGTGTTCTCTGAAACAAATGGCTCCGCAGAGAGCTATGGAATGGTTTGAAAGGAAACGACTGAAAAGTTAGAATGCTAAGAAAGGATTTCTTCGCTGTATTCAGGAAACCATGGCCTCGGCTACGTCTCCATGCCGGCGATTTCACCGTACGAGAATGTTCTAGCATTGAACGAGGAAGCATCCACGACGATGACACCGTCAATGGCCCCGACATCCACCCACCAGCCATTGCTGCAGACTACTGTCTCCAACAGCGCTTCAGCTATCAGCCAAGTTCATACGTCTACAACTTTCAAGCCGAAAATGGCTTCGCTGAAGGCCTCGTATATGGCGACAATGCCAACCGTGAAATCCGATACGGTGAGTGAAATGTACTCTTCATATATCACAGTGTCGTATTCAATTCAACCCACGATACGTTTCCGCCATGTTTTTCTTCGTTCCTGCTTATGCAATTTACTTATCAATTTATCAGCTCCGTTCGCTGCTTCTTACGAATTACCATAAATAGTAGATACCTACACTACCGCTCAAAAGTATCCGGATCCTTGATAGTGTCATGCATTGTCGACTTCGGAATTTTCTTCGTTAAAGCAATTTCTCGAACTGAATATCCTTGTTCCGCAAGAGTAAGGATACTAGCACGTTTTTCTAACGATAATTCTCGTTTCGAATTCATAACTGAACATAGGAAGAGCAACAGACGAATTAAAGCAAAGCGGGTGACTTAATAGGTATCGGAGAACTCTCTGAAATCGATCTGTACCATAGAAATGAAATAAACTAAATCTTCAGACCTTCTCAAACAACGATATCGTTCCATTAGATTTCGTCTTTATAAAACAGGAATTATATTATTGCATTTTTATTATGTCATTTGTACATAAAAATAAATTTTAGTACGCTACGATACTTTAGTATACATAATTATAACAATTACAAAAGATAAAACGAGTGTACATACTTTTTCTGCTAACTTAAACTACATTTTGTAGAGAATAAGGAAGTGTCCGGATACTTTTGAGCGGTAGTGTACACATCCAATACATCCAGTTCAACCCTAGCGAGGTTTCCGGGTCTTTCTCGACCCATCGCCTTCTTACTTTTTCAACAACTTTTGCTGTTATCAATTTATTGTCCGTTTAACGTTATATTGAAAGTTTATCTACTGGTAGCAAAAATTGTTACGCATAAGGTCTTTGGGTCTCTTTTTACCCATAGCCGAACGCACCAGGGCTAACACTCTCGCTGCTGTTTCACCTACATTCCAAAGAGTGTGATTATTTCGATTTTCCAAGTGCTAGGAAAATTCTGCCCAAGTTTCGAAATGATCCGGTGAAAGTATTAAAGACCGGCGTGAAATTCCTCCGATTCGAACCTTTTTAAGAAAGTTTGATCAACCCGATGCCGTAACCTCTTTACAACTTCCAAACTGAATCCATACGAGCATAGCAACACGGCCATGAATCTTAAAAGGTTTAATAAAAGTTAGTAATTACTTTCAGCTCGCTGATGCAGGTACCACAAGCCCATCTACTACGGCAGTTTCCACGATGGTACCTCTAGCTCCGATCACCGTGAAGCAATCTTCGAACTTGGCTCATCCGACAGCTTTGACCACCGAGGCCAGCATACCTGTCATGCCCACGGAATCTCCGATCATATCCTTCGGACAGTACGTAATGGCAATGTCACCATTTATTACTTGCTTGACCGATCGTGACCTTTTCTCGGTCACCGTCACTTCGTTTCCAAGACACATGTCTCGAGCTTATGTTATTATAACGCTTGCTACTCTCGCGGATCTCTCCGACGCGATATTTTCTTTATCTTCGCGGGGCAGAAACGTCGTTTCATCCTGGAGGATGTTCGAATAGTTGGCTAGAGTCGGAGGAGCATCGCGAGACACTCTACATGATTAAATTAGTATTCACTTTTCTGAATTGCCACCGCGCCTCCTCCTCTTCTTTTTTCTTTCAGGACGATACCGCCAATTGAATTTCCAGCAGCAAAGTTCATCGCACCAGCGTCTCATTATTACCTCTCGAACGGATTGAAGAACACCCTGCAGCAGTCTCTGCTCAGCTATCTGACATCCCAACAGCTGAAGAGTCCTGATAAAACCAACGGATCGACCGCACTGTTGGACAACGCGTTGAACAACAACCTGATTACCAAGCTTCAGAGCCCAGCGTTGAGTTACACGCTACCAGAAGAGTCGAAGATCACGCTGAAGGATAATCTGCAGATTCCTCTATTGAACTATCTGCTGCAACAAGAATCGAATCGTGCTCTACCAGTCGCGCACACTACCATACCGGAAACTGTGAATTACATTCCGCTAGAGTCACTAGTCGACAAGCCGAAGCTGGTTCTACCAACTGTCCCGATTGCAACTTTGTCAGCGGTTTCTCGACCGTTGCAGACCATAAACTATGCCTCAACGACGCTGCCAAGAGTGTCTGCTCTCCCGTTAGGTATGGCCCCTTTATGCGAATCGATAAAGTTCAGACGAAATCGTTCTTCGATCTCCAATAGGAACCCGCCTCGAGGTAGCATGTCGTTAGAAGAAATTTAATCTTTCACGTCTCCCGGCAACGACTTTCACCTCGACGGTTATAATTTTCGAAAAATTTCATCCGCCTCCGTACCTCCTCGACTTCGATGGATTTCTTTCTATCACCGAGAGAACCATCTGTAACCTAGACATGTTTCCACTCTCTTCACCTATATCCTTCTTACCGTGTCACTTTCAGTTTGGAAAAGTTCAGGTGAACATATATATCCAGAGGGTAAATGCTCGCCAAGGAGAATGAGAAAAGGGGTGTTAAATTCGAGGCGGTTCTTTTTACGAGCGTCACACGGAAATGTGCAATATGTGGCTTTCTCGTATTTTTCGGGTAGAAAATTCTCCCTTTGTGTTCTTTCATAAAGCGTGAGTTTATACCTTCAGGTCTGTCCTCGAACGTAGCTGATGGCCAGGCGACGGGTTTATTCAACAGTTTACCTGGCGGGATAGGCGGAATATCTGCGGGCATACCGACGTTGAACTTCGGTCAAAATTTCCAGCACGCCGGCCAACTACGACAATTTCAGGTGGCAAGAAATCAACCGTACTCCGCAGGTACAGTGTCGTGTAGAGAAGATAAACTCTACAGGGCTTGATCATTTTAACACCTTCTTCTAGCCCCCCTTTCACAGGGCTAGACATCGATCACACCCGCCCTCTCCCATTCACCGTTCATCCAGCAAATCTTCCGCTTCATCTTTTACCAGTATAATCTGTGAAACGCGTTCTGTGCAGGATTGCAGCTGCAGCTGGGCGGCTTCGAAGGGATAGATTACTCCTTACGCTCGTCTAATCCCACCCTACGGCCCACGGACCTCGGGATCGCGAAAGTGGGCTTAAGTTTGCCAGAATTACCGCGACATCAGCTTGCCACGTTCCCCAAGGTAAATTTTCCACGAGTAATTACGGCCAGCGGTGTGTAAAAGAGACTTTACTCCACCGAATAGTTTCTTACTTGTTCCCCGGCTATCGGGAATTTTCCTTCGGGCTTTGGCGTTACTTTAAACACCGCGAACCGAGAGAGTAGACCTTGTGCAGACTGCCGATACCGGGGAAGTTCCTTTATTCGAGCTCGCTTTACCGTTAACATCTTCCTTATTAGCATGCGAAAACATGCGGATTTTCGCAAAGAGGAATTAAGTATTCACGGGGAAAGTTTATCGTTAACGGATGATAATTACACTTCGCGGAGTATGAAATATTTAGAGCAATTTTCTCTACCTGTTACAGGTTGGATTCGGACAACACTTATTGTGAACGCGGAAGTTGACCGTTCAGCTGAGAGACACGTGCTTATTTCATAGGACTGCAAAGTATTCTAGCAAACTGCCAAAGTTCAACAGACCCTAGGTTAATCCTATCGAGACACACCAGACAGTTATCTCTTACCGTAAGGCTGTATAATTGAATCTTCTGCTATACTTAAATAGAAATAAACGATTGTTACCAGAAATTCCCCTCTGTTGTTTGCCACACGTCTCCTATCTGTTACCCATTTCGTCCATTTTATCAACATTCAATATTGACCCCTGGTATAATACTATTAACACATTCCGTGGGATCTGTATCATTATTGACACGATTTGCCGTATCGTATTTTCTCAGGCTAGGTGTACGTATCCCAGATTACCAGCCTATATTTTTTCTTATTACGAACTAACCAGCAAAACACACTTCCTTCCTTTTCCCTAGCTTCGCGCGTATTTCTTCTCGTTTCGCGCTATTTTCCTGCTTTTTCACCGTTGCAACCACCTTCCCTTCTCCGCGTTAACGACCCACACGACACAACCACCCTGTGACATTCGTGAGAACGAGGGTCCAGCCCCTTACGGAGACCTGAGCCGCGCTTTATTTCAGGGACATTCGTAAAAGTCGACGCGAAACGATTTCGTTGCAGATTGGATTCGTTCCCTACCTGCTCTCGTCCATGACCATTGTCACTGTGAATCGCATTGACGCGAACAAATATCACAGGAACATCCCTTTCAGCCTCTATTGTTCTCTGTAAATCTAGAGAAAAGCCTCGTTTTTATCCTGCATAGATAAAAGAATAATGCACTTAGTCACTTACCTCTTTCGCCCCGTTTCTTCTCCTATATCTGGATGAAAGAACGACGGAACACGTCGAATGAACAGTCCCAGTTTAATTTATACTATATTTTATTAATATTAACAAGTGTCTCAGTGTGTTCGATTTGTCGTGTCTGTGTCCCATCGTTATTTCTTCTTTTTTGCGTGTGAATATGTATAGGTATTGCCATCAGTACCTAGATACAGAGTTTTTAGATATTCATTTTTCTTCTCGGTGTTTTCCTTCTTTTCACTTTTTTTTCTCTTTTTTTCTCTTTTTGCTTCGTCTTATCGCTAGTCTCAGCAAATTAAAGATTTATCCCTTACATCTATGCCCTGTATAGACCATTCGTAGTAACGATTAAGAAATTCATAGGAAAAACGTGGTTCTTTCGCACCGAAGCGACACACACATTCTCTCTCTCTCTCTCTCTCTCTCCAATGGACACATATAGACATTTCACGTAACTTATTTTATGTAGTTTCTTTTTTTATTCTTCGTGTGTTTTATTCTTTCCGTGTCTCGCGTCTCTCGAGGAGGTAGAAATCGGCCTCCTGCGAGTCCTCACGAATATCCACGATTCAGGATTAAATAGAATTAATTAGAAATTTCGTCGAGCCTCTTCACAGGCATTCGTATACACACGCTCGTGATTTTCGTCGATCAGTACAGCGCTACTTTCATACATGTGTACACACTCGCTCACACACATACTCTTTCTCTCATTTCGCACAATACAGATACGATTTTTACGTCGTGTATCACACACACATACACGTTTATATACAAGAGAAGGGAATGTATCAGGTTAGAAAAATACAGCAATCTCACGCAGGACCACGCAAAAAAGACATTTAGTGTGCTCTTCTCCAAAGTGCGTTACGTCTGAAACAAACGGCTAGGCTTGTTGATTTTTGCTCGACACGGAAGCACGATTTTTCAAAGTTTCCCGCTCTTTGTAATTGGATCGCAACGTTAACCCCTTGTCTTAAAATATCAAGTTGTCGATGAGATGTAACAGAGATTTGATATGACGCTTCGATTTCAATTTCAATATTCGTACACCCTTATCGGGATTGTTTATTCACGTGACGTAGACGGACAGCCGGAGTCTGTTGGAATATACGTGCGTTAACACGCGATTTGACGATAAATTTTGAAAACTTATTTATTGAGTGGTATTCGGAATTAAATTATTCATGTACCTGGAGGTACCTGGAAAAGTAGCTCGTAGAGGCTGATAGAGTCCTGCGGTTCGCTTATCCAATAAAATTATTCAAATATATTTCCTTCGTTTCTTAGAGATTTTTTTGGAATTTTTTTGGTACTTTCTAGATAAATTTTCAAAAATTCTCGGAACTCTCTGAAAACGTATTTATTGGCTGATATTTAGAATTAAATTAATCATGTTGTGCTGCGGGTACGTCACTGCCAACAAGCCCTTACCGAACCTTGTTCTATTCTTCCACGAGAACTTCCTCTTTTCCAACTCCTTCAGATTTTAGTTTCCGTTCTTCTGTCTCTCCCCGGGTTAAGACTTGCCTTCGTCCTCGAGTAGCCTAAGAAGCGCACATGTGGCATCCAGGTTTGCACGAGGACGAACGGCCCCGCTTTCTAAAAATTTTCCGTTTCCACCACTTTCTCTATTTTTACCTTTATCTATCTCTACTCCTGTCTCCCTGTCCTAACAATATAAAAACCCAGTACACCTACACCTCAGTTCAGATTTTCCTTTACCAGCCATCGAGACGTACCCGCCGAACCGCTGCCGCAGGGACAATTAGCGAATAAAACGATTGTATTTTCCGGGCGAATTGTACGCCGACCATAGCGCTTAGATCTTAATAAATTGAGGTGAACACAGTGCAACGGCGTTCCTCACCCACCACAATGTTCGTGGAGGTTCCTGGAAAATTAGCTCGTAGAGTCTGATGGACTCCTACGGTTCGCTTGTCTAACAAAATTGTCCAAATATATTTTCTTTGCTTCCAAAAAAATCTCTAACACTTCTTACTTATAGGACGATAACTCAGTCGATAGTGTAGAACAATCCGTAGAAGAAATTTCGGATCGCTCAAGTACCTGCTGTTCCAAACGCTTCGAAAAAACTGGCCGTGTGAATCCATTGGACTCACCTTGGCCGGATGAGGGTTAACATAAAAAAAAGAACTTATCCACGTTTCTCACTGGACGAAACGTTGAAGCAATAAATTGTTAACATACTTAGACAAGAGCCGTAAGACAAGGGGTTGAAGAAGAGGAGAAAGGAAAAAGGTTCCTCTGTTCCGACGCTCGTTTCTCTCAGGGTTTTTCCCCAAGCGAGACGGGTGGGAGGGAAAAAAAGAAATTCTGCGAATGGTGTCCAGGTATGCGAGATCCCTGTGCCCAGAAGTTTAGCAGTTAGCTTGTCGTTAACGACCGGCGAACGAAGCACGGGGTAACTTCGCCAATTAATAATCCACCGGCTCCTCTGGAAGGTTCCTTTATCTCGCAGGCAGCGTAAAATGGCACGTGGCGGGCGACCTATTGCGAGAATCGGGCCGTGTGTAAAATGTCGCCGGGATCTCGGTGCGAAAAGTTCCCCTCACGGCGTTACGAAAGGGCATAAAGTTCCCTCGGTCGTCGCTCTCGCAGCGGTGAAGATTTTCCACGGTTAACGAAACGGGTTCTACGCGGGCCGCAACGTCGGTTTTTAAGAGGTTTACACGCGAATTAAACGGATTCATGCAAATCGAGAACACTGCCGCAAGCGCACTCTGATCCTGCGCTCTGTCCGTCAGAACCTAATGCAGATTTCATTTCTCTCGGTTCTGACGAGTAATGAAAAAAAGGAGACAAACGAGAAAGAAAAAGAAAAACGTCGGTGTGCCAGCGATTCGAACCAGCCATAAATCATCGGGAAATTTAATCTCGAAACAGGTTACGGGGCGTGAGGATGGAAAGGTGGGAGGGCAGGAAGGAAGGGGTGAAACGCACGTAACAAAACCTAGCTTTATCACAAGTCATCGAGAAAAAGTTTTTCCCTAAAGTTCTCCCTAGCACTTAGCGATACACTCTATCGTTTACACCCTAGTGTTTTAGTAATTGCGGTGTACCTAGGTTTTAACAGGCATACAATTCATCGTGTACACCACCGTTCGTAAGTACTTTCCAACGTATTCGTTTACAGTGTCCTTTAAATTTGGGCAATTTCACTTCGAAGCTTTCCTCGCGATTAACAAGGACCTGTTCCTGGTTAACCCTTTGCTTTATAGAAACGAGTCAGACTCGTAGCACAGATTCTGGCCAAGATGCGAGAAAAGCAGTTATATTAGTAAGGGAAAGTAATTTTAATTTTAATTTTCCTTTGAATTTACGAGATTGAGGATTACCAAGTGTAATTAATCTGTGATGTAATTGCTTTGCTTACTTAAACTGTACTGAAACGTTGAATAACTGACGCATGGATACGTAGTAGAAAAGATCGTAAGTCAAAGGTGTTAACTCCTCAGCGACGGCCTCCATGCTTTGGATTGTGGTTCTTCTTATTTTTCATTCGCCTTTGTATACGTTGTACGGACTTGGATATCTTTGCTGCCTTTTTTTTTCAGGATCATGCTGAATTAATTGATGTTAATACAGTGCACAGGTTTCTTTCATATATACCTTCCCTTTTGTATTTTCACTTTTGAAGTGTCGTTGGATTCAGCAAATGTTTACGCATTAATTCGTTCTGAACACGAAATAAACAATATTTACAATTTTCGTGAAAATAAAGATAGCAAAAGAAATATAAATATTTTCACAGCATGGTATGTAGTAACGTGTTAATAACAAATTAGTATTAACACTGAAACGTTAATAATAAATTAATATTAACACTGGAACACTGATAACAAATTAATATTAACCCTCTATTACTCATTTTTTCTTCATTAATCAAAAGAAAAGTTACAGTTGATTATGATTTCAAGAAGCAAGTATTAATAATTATTATGAAAAAAATTGACCGTGATAATGCAACAGCTTTGCAAGAGACGTATAAAATGTTGATAAATGGATATGTAACTTTCAAGTCACATGCTGTTACAGAGGGATGACACTGGAACACTAACAATAAATTAACATTACTGTCCCAGGGTTAAAACTGCAGCACATTTCCGCTTGCGGGACGCGTCCTCCGTCGCTGAGGGGTTAATATTTTTCTGCGAGATTTCAACACCATTGTATACAGGAAGTTGCAAATTCTTGCCTTCGACCGTTTTCGTTACGAAGAAAAACAGTTCTCTCGGTAGTGAAATGAAGCGAAAAAGAAAAACAAAACGAGAGAGGACAAGTATCTACTTACGAACGGTAGGCTACCCATCGCCTCGCAATCAGTAATTCGTTAGTCCCTACTATTTTTTATAGTTATTTACAAATATACATTGGAAGCTTACGTTTACGCGATAGAGAACGTATTCGTGGAACTCATAGAGTAAAAAGCTTTGATTGTGACGTTATTGCAAGAGCTCGGGCTTCCCGCGAAACAAACGAGTTCCTATCCTTTCGTTTCGCCCTGGCCCATCTAACAAACACACACGCACATACTCGGTATAAGCGCGTCTCTGGATGCCAATGTACGGTCAGGTATCGTGTTTTCGTATTTTGTATTGATATGTTTTGAAAATTCGGTCGCAGGAAACTCTTCACGGTCGTGTCACGGAGAGATGGGTCACGAAGCGGAGCCGATATGTACAATACAATACACACTACAAAGTGTTTCATATGCATCTACGTCGAACTGTGCCGAACGCGTCGCGAACCTACGTTGTTTATCTTCACGTGAAATTCCTCCGGGCTGTTGAAGTGTGCAGGGTGAGCAAAAAGCAAGAGGACGTCGTCGTTCTCCTATCGATTTTCGTTTTCCCCCTGGAGTTGGACCAGGAGGAACGGTTCCCTTGCAGTTAACGCAACCCAGAGACAATACATAAATCTTGATTAGAGCTGAGGGGATACGAACGACATACACAGTAGCCTGGGAATGATCGATAGAAAAAGAAGAAAACGGGCAAACAAATTCAATACGTTACCCGAAAAACGGCCGCCGCAGGAAATCGCGCCGGTGTATCGAAAAAGATGGATCCACGAGGAAGGAGCGTCTCGCGAATAGGGAACAAACTTGAAATCCGACTTGAAATTCCGTATCTACAGTCCTCGGCGTATACCGTACAGAGGACTTATACGATGAAGAAGATTCACGAAGTAGAAGCGACACGTTCGACGAAAAACCGGCTCACCCTTCCTTATTCCCCTCTCCCCGCGGAATCAATTTTCAAGAATCGAAGAACACGATTTCGGAACTTGGACAACATTGGTAGGACAGTTTCTTAGGTGGATTCGCGATGAAATTTCGTTTTTAGATCCGTGTACGCAAGAATTTTGGGAGCTTGTTCTTCGATCAGTTTCTCTATTCGTCGGACAGATGGTTGTCGAGATGATACGAAGCAGACGGTGTTTCGCTCGAATAGAGTCGTACATAATGTAAAGAACGTGGAGTTATACTGCAACGCGCAAGTGTACAGAGCGTGTAACGGTTTGTCGCTTGGAACTAACGCTTCGGTTCCTCTTTTGCTTTGAGCCAAAAAATATTGCTACACCTTACGAGCTACGGTAATACTGCCACGGTATATTTAATATCCAACGAAGTATACATGTACATACGTATAGCGTTCACTCGCTCGTCAAACACGCTTCGTTTCATCGATCTCGCATTTTTAACCCGACGTTTATCGTCTTACCTAGTCTACCTGCCGCTCTGAATCCTCCTTCTCCTCCGCTGCTCGTTACTCACAGAGCTGGTCGTTTTAAACGACGGCTCGAGACTTCCAACGCGTTCGACGCGTGACACCGTGACGTTCGTTCTTCCTCTTACTATTATTATTTTTTTTTTTTTTTTCGCATACATTTCATTCGACTACTTAGCCTAGATATTTATTTGGTAATTCAGCTCTAACATCGATGCACGTTGCTTCCGGTTCGATATCGGCTCGGGGACTCGAATAGTAACGCGTGACAGATGGAGGATGCAAGTGCTGCTGCTGGGATTATTAACGGTGGTACCGGGATTTCTGATAAGCAACACGTGAGAAGCGCACGATGTATAATTCCATTGTCGTTCGTTCTTTTTTTCTCGTTTTTTGTTTTCGGTTAGAAACTTTGTCTCGGCGATGGTGGTGACGGTGTTGGTTGTGGTTCTTCGAGTGTATCACGCGACCTTTTTGCTTTGTTCGAAACAATTCGGTAGAAAGAGCGAAGGGGGGAAGTAATTGCCTCGAGAAGCTTCTATCTATAGAGGAAAAACTGGTGGTACCAACTGTGATGGAGGTGTTTGCTAATACGATAAATACCTTTTGCCAGAACATCTGTTGAGCTGTTCGATTGTCCAATGCCACGTTGTTCCTCCGTTCAAGACAAACGCGAACCCTAAACCAGAGTGGTCCGCCTAGAAGCTGATCAATTTATGGAAGGCTTTGCGAAATTCGGGATTGAACACAGTGTAAATTACGGGATTCACGAAGCTGTTCATGTAGCCTAGCCAGGAGGTGACGATGAAGGCCGTGACACCTGGTTGACAGGTGGCCTCCAGCTTCGTGCAAATTGCGTCCATGATGTTGCAGGTGAAGAACGGCAGCCAGCAGATCAGAAAGACACCTGAAATCGAAACGTAGACTTCTTCTCCTTGTTCTTCGTTTTCTCGCCAAGTAAGACATACCCAAAACTATCGCCAACGTTTTCGTAGCCTTTCGCTCTTTCTTCGCGGAGCTCTTCTCGCGTTTTTTCTTGCTCGCCTTGTTGGCCTTGTATATCGTGAAACGGGAGCCGGAAGCGGCGTTCTTCTTGTCCTTCTTACAGGTGGAAGTGCCGGACAAGACGCTTGGCGTTCGGCCAAGCTGAAGAGGAAGAAGCGAACCGGCACTCTTGAGCCTCTTTAATTCCTGCTTGTTCGTCTCCGCGCCGTTCTTCTTGGCCTGCGAGCTCTGACTGGTGGCCGCGCCCTTCGGCGGCGGCGAGGAAGATGTCGAGGACGAAGGAGCGGAGGTGATTCGTGGGTAAGGGCTCGGGCTGGAATTCGTTTCGAGAGGCTCGTGAACGACCGTGCTGCTCGCCGCCGCGTCGTACCCGGAATCCTTTCTCGCGTTCTGCGTTCCACCCAGCTGAGCTTGAGCCACTGCGCTGAAACGACAACTGCAATTCGAGTTTTTAGCGTTTCCAGTCACGGCTGGTAACTACGGACCTGCGCTAACCGGAAGTGTGTAGTACGTGTGTTGGCAGCCGCAGGGACGAACGTTCATGCATCACTGCCGCGGGAGTTGCTGCTTGAAAAAGGACGTACATCGATCGAAAATTACAAGGCACTACCCCAGTCTTTTCCAGGCAATTCGCCCGAGAATGACAAACGCGCGTGTGCTTGTGTTTTTATTCGACTGGTTTGCACGTATACGGTAGCACGTTGACGCGCGTATACGCATACAGGCCGCGACAAAGCGAGTTACGTGACCAAACTCTGCTGCAGCGTAGCTCTGCAACCGCTCTCGGCGATTAGTCCCAAAGACATCCGTGCGTGGGAACATGGTTTCCACGTGCGCGAGCCATACATATCGATCTTACGATTAGCCAGCGTGTTCCGGAATTACTGCCGTGCAACGATTTTCACTGTTGAGCTAGTATTGTGCCAGAAACCCTTGTACCGCCGCGATTCGAAAATCCAGAGGTGGATATGGGTATGCTGTACACATGTTCCCTCGCGGACAAATCAAGGAATCCTGCCTCTCTTCTCTTCTCGTCTCTCCCCACCCCTCTCCGCCATTTGTTACCTATTCTATAGTGTCAATAGCGGTTGCCCGGTGTTTTTCCTTTTTTTTTTCACTTACGTTTCGTTACCGCGAAACGAAGGGATCGATCGAGTTGAAAGAGAAAGAGAGAGAGAGAGAGATGAAGAGAGACCGTGTCTTCCGCGTCCAGTCAATATGGTTACCACTCCAACATGCTGGACCAATGGATACTCTACAAACAAACGAATCGATTTCACAGTGGACCGGGTTTATCGGCACTCGCGTTCCTATTTTTATCGAACGTGCCGCCGAGTAATTCTTTGCGCCAATGAATTATTCGACTTGTACACCCGATATAAGAGATCCAGCCTTGCGGATTCCTTTTCACCCGGTCTAACCTCCTTTTTTTCCCAGAGACGGTCTTTTAACCAGAAGGATAAAGCACAATTAAACGGTGGCTCGGAGGAATTTCAAAAGGAGGACACGACCAGTCGGACACGAAGCAGCGGCAAACGAGTTACTCGATGTTATCTTAATTCGAGAATCCAACCAATTAACGTGGAACTTTCAGCTGGGAACTCTTCTTCTGTGTCGCTGAAAATTCATTTCCTCCGATGAACAGGAAAATAGTATTCTCTGGTTTGTTCGTTGTGTTCCACCGATTTTCAATGCCAACTGACTTTTGGTCCGGCTGCTGCTTTGTTTCCTCCACCATTGTTTTTAGCCCATCGTTACTATGGTTGCATGGCGAATATTTAACGCTCCAAATTTCAATAGGTCCACCGTATTTTATTCAGTGAAACGCTAGGCGAAACTCTCTATATTTTTGTTTATTTTTTCATGAATACTCTTCGTCATTAGCAAGGGGACAACAGCGGCGTGAACGTTCGTCCCACGCGCGAGGTTCTAGATCGAGAAATTTTCTATCGAATTCTTTACTCACTTTCGAACACTGCATTGTACCCAAGAGAAACATCGGTAAAAGTCTCTACTTCGGTGATTTCTTTTTTTTTTGCGAATATTTCTCGTCGATAGAGAAGAAGAGAGAAGTGTAGCGTGAACGTTCGTGTCCCGCGCGAGGCTCTAGAATCGAGAAACTCTATCGAATTCTTACGCTGCTTCCTCGACGACCGTGGCTAAAAAGAACTCGGTGCTCTTGTCGTTCGAGATGACCACGACAGGATCAAGGGGCGTCTCGTCCTCGTCCTCGTTACTCCCGGACGCGGTGTTCGTCGGCTCCTCCATGCCAGGCGCCACCAGAGCTGCCGCCCCGAGTGCAGTCTCCGCAAACCTTGCCACAGAATACCCACTACGTGATCTTAGTCAATAGCCTCTAAAAAAAAGCTTCTACACTTAGCATGCTTTTAGTATTCCTCGACGATGCGTGCCGTTCGCGGCTGTAATATATTGGAAAGCGACTATATGCCCGGTGCGACTTTCTTCCGAACTTTCCTACGAACAAAGGATCTAGAAGAGCTTTTACTTCGTTGAATGCGCCCATCCCAACTTTTGCTAAAATAAACGTGATTCTACCTTTTTTGGGGGAAAGTGCTTCGGACCTTTGATATCTTTCGAGAATCATTCGAGATTAGTTTTTTTTTCTAGCTTCACCACAGGCAACAGTGCAAGGGGGTAGAAATATCCTGAATGTTCCCGCGGTTTTAAGCTGACCGCTTTGAGAAACCACACGAATCCATTGAAATTGAACGTTTTTACAGAAAATAATCTCCATAATGTTCGATACACTTCTGCCATCGTATTACAAGAGCATTAATTCGGCGTAGGGGAGAGTCGTGCAGTACCGGCCACTCTAAGTTTTTGTACTATAACTTGGGCTAATGTTGGTAAAAATGAAATTTCAAAAAAGTAATTTGTAGTACAAAGGGTGCTTGATAAAAGGGGACAAATGGTTTTTCTCAAATTTTCTCATAAAGATAAATAATTGGTAGAAATAAAAAAGTTGTAATTTGCAGCGAACGAAAAATTGTCGTACAGTACCGGCCAGCTACTTAGTTGGTAGATATACGGAACACCAGCGTAAACGTTAAACGTCTTAGAACTCTGGTAATACTGAAGAAAAAGGAACGTCGCCGGAATACGTTGCTCAGAGCTGTAGTATTCATTTGTTTTTCCATCAATAGTGCAGTCAACTAACAGCATAAGCGAGATCTAGCTTTGGCCGGTACTGCACGACTCTCCCCTTTAGAAAAATCCGAATCTGCTTCCGAAAATGCTTCCTATGTTGTTTTTGCCTAAGGAAATTGTCAGGTGAGCGGGAAGAAGTGAAAATCGGTCAGAGATAAATCAGGGGAACATGCGAGATCAGGTAGAACAATTTTTGTACAGTTGTGCTTGCTATGTACGGTCTGGTATACGGTCATGCAAAGGATTAGGGTCCTTCGGGTACCTTCAGTTTTTCGTGGACGATCTCCAATTCCTTACTGTAAGTCTCTGCAGTGATAGTGGTACCCGGGCTTAGAAAACTGTAGCGAATTAATCCCGAATTAGACCATTAAACTGTGAGCATGATTTTTTTCAAATGTAAACTAAGTCTCGATCACTTTCTTTCTCTTAGAGACACGGATTTTCATATACGCGGAATTAATCTTCTTGCAACACGTTGGCAATCGCACATTATGGAAATTATTTTCAATGAAAATGTTTAATATCGGTGGAGTTGTGATTTTTCAAAATGAACATTCTTCGCAACGCAACACCTCCAGTTTATTACCGTCACAAGCTAATGTTTTCCAATTATTTCGTGCGTGGATATATATACACATATGTATAATTTTATACAGGAAATTCGATTGTCATATTATCCGGATAATATGGATATTAGCAGCCGGACGCGTGTTACGGAGTAATTGGATTACAGGGAGCCGATGACGTTACAGATTGGATAGGCAAATGGCTGGGTATTCGTAATTCGATTTGAATGATAGCTCCTTGGTCTTCGCGACGTTCGCCCACCACATCCGATCTCTAGGTAAAACAACTAATAATAATTCTCTTTCCCGAAGTTTTAATCATGCAACAACGAAAACAAATTGGAAAGTTCCGCCGTATCGATGTTATATCCCGTGGCCAACTTTCTATACAAACAGGGTCAATATCTGTACCTATAGTATCCTTACTATTTGCCAGCGTAACAGAACAGCCATTGGCTATTCACGGCAGGAGGCAAAGTTTAATAAAAGTGAAATAACGACTGCCACTTGTCATGGGCGAACACGGGTAGGACACGCTTTCTGTTTAAAAATAAATTATTAGCGATATAAAAAATACAGGATGTCCGGAGATAGAGCATAGAGGGGTTAGGGCAAAGGGAAGACGAAGCAGACCGCAGATTATGTCGAATAGATAGGACTCATGGGGGAAAAGACGCGGTCGTACAAGCAAAATGTGACCGCTGCTATAAACACCTAAGTCTAATTTATCGGGGGTGTTTATACATAATGCTACCTAACCGCAGGAACCTGGAAGGGACCTATAAATAATAATTAGGGGACTGCGGTGCCGTCGTTAATACCACTCTCGAGCCCATCTACTACCGTCTCGTTCGAATACACACATACACACACCTTACGCCGGATTAAAACTTTTTAACCCGGTCAATTTGAAATGTTTGACTTCGAACCATCCCCTGTCGTTGGTTGCCAGAAAAAAGATTGTACACACGTCGGATGTGTAATATCAAGAAGAAGAGAAAAAAGGAAGTTAAGTTGAGTCGAGTCATCGGAAGCTTGCACTTCAGGGCGTTCTTCTACTTGCGAAGAAAGGAAAAACGGTGGTAGAGTAGGTATTAAATCATCTTCAGGCAGCAAACAAGAGTAAATACGTGCCTTTCAGTTTCCCCGGGGCAAAGGAAGAGACGCCGCGACGACGGAGAGAGGAGAGATCGTTCGGGTACTGGTTCTCATCGATGAACAAACGTACGACACTTAGGAACAGCCGGGCACAAAAGCCGGCAATTAAATCGAGGCGAAGTAGTTGGCTATTCAAGGCAAGTATGCCGACCCCGGAACACAACGGAAATGAAGCTCGCGCGCGAGAAAACCGTATTAGCCGGAGATGCTCCGAGGCTTAACCTCGCCTTAGCTCTCCCTTCTTTTCTACACGCCATTCTTTTCCTCCGCCTTTCTTTCACCCTCGCCCTTGCCACTCGAGCGACATATTCTCACCAGGCGACGCCAATCTCCGTGAGGAATCGTCTCATTGGAATGCAAAAGTTATATCGCGGGAAAATTGAAAGAAAGAAAAAAGTGACCTGTTCGAGGAACACGCGACACATTCGAAACGAAGGCGGTACGTCTTTTCGCGGATAAATTCGCCCCTTTTAAACCCTTTGTCCTCCTTTCATCTACACCGTGTTAAAGGTCTGATATTGATTCGTCGCGCTACTGCCTCGCCGAGAAGTACAACACAGAAAGATATCCATTAACGAGGTATTCCCATTTGAAGAAGTCAAAAACCGATTTTTATTTATCGCATTTCCTCCAAGTGTAACGTCTTGAAAGTGTGCTGCTGAAATTCTACGCCTGAGATCGACGAAATGACGAAGTTACAATGATTTCGAGAAAGTGGAGAACGCTGAGCGCAGAAACTTTAAACGCGTTTCACTCGAAACCGTGTTTTGCAAACTGGCTGCCACGATTTCTCAATAACGAACCAACTAATCTCTACCAAATTTCGCACACGTATAAAATAGACCTCCCTCTATCGTCCGTGCTATATAAATAATTAAGATTATTGCGTAAAAATTACACTACGTTCTCCTGAAGCGCGAGCAAACGTGTACGAGAAATTTCAACTCCATTCGTTTACAATTATCTACTAATTTCTTGTCCTAAAGATCGCCTAGAAATGTCGTCTCCAAATGGAAATACCCTCTCAAGACGTTAGCCTAACATCTTAACCGTTGGACAAGCATATGGGAAAGAATTATTCAGTTCTTTCTGAAAGGATTTCTTGTTTACATTCAGCGCTTTCTTCGGTTGAAATGTTCATGCGAGGGAGTAGGTAGGTATACAGGTGACACTCGTACGAATTTCGACAAGGACGCTGTCGCGTATGAATTATTAAACGATGCCGACAGCGTGCCTGTCCCCGTGCAACGTAACATGCAACAGAGAGTGGTACATGCAGGTGAAACAACACGTTCCAGGATCAATTCTCTGGTTCATCAACGAAGTATCGGCTTCGATTCTCCCCTTCCTTTCTTTCGGAAGGATTACCAAAACGTTTTTCATTTTCTCACGCTCCGATTAATTTCTATAAAATTCAACGAAAGAATCTACGTCAATTTTTTTAGCTCCCTCAACCAGCAGCGGCGGAAAATTCCTAGAAAATTCTTGGTAAATTGACGAAGAACGCGATTATCGAATGTGTCGGCTTACCTGCGCGTGTGCGCGATGTTCTCGATTATGCTGCCCGGTTTAATGTCGCCCAGGTTCGGTTTTCTATTGGCCCTTGCCTTCCTCGCCCTGTTCCGCAGCGCCTGGAAATGGTAAATTGAAATCGCCGTTTCAAGATAAATCAGAGAACCGAGCGGCAAAACAGCAGGGGTGGAAATAAATCTTCCGGTACTGTGTGCAGGTATAAGGCAGATAACCCGTGACACCTATTATCGAGTGCACACATCAAAACCGAGGGGGAGATACATATTTCCCGTGTCGAAATATATATTAGAAAATTTCGTTGATGCATTATGAAAAATGCAAGGTTCGCGAACGTGTTACGATTGAATATAAAAGGGGGATATTTCACGTTTCGTATCGATGTTTCCAAGGATATCGCGTTTCCTTCTCTGACGTTAAATCCTTCGGCTATACTTTCACGTCGCGTGCCATAGCGCCGCGGGAAAATGGTCACAGGACGAAGTGATTCTTTTTTCAATCGAACGGTACATTGTACGCAAAGTAGGTGCATACGTTGTAGTTTCTGAAACGTGTGAAAACTACGGTGACAATTGTATCACGCTACATGATAACAATTACCGCTGGACAATTATGTCGCACTCAATTTCAGCCGTTTTATGCAAATTGTCACATCGGGATATTTTGGATATCATCGGAAATTAATAACGCAACGAGTGAAAGCAACCGAACAAACAAAATTTCTTTGTGTACCTCGCGCGGCGGCAAACATTGAAACAGTTGTATTTATGATCAACCGCGGCGTAATCGCAAAAGCCAGCAGATCCGCGGGACACTTTGTTCCACATGGCGTTTAAATACCTATTAGCGATTTGCTGAATTCAATTACGTAGAGGAACGACATTATTTTAATTGAAGTTCTACTTTGGAAGGAAACATTCCTGTATTTATGAGAGACGAGAAAACTCGTGTGCCAAATGACCAATATTTAAGATACAATCTTTTACTTATTACGATGTTAAATTCAACGTATACCGACTGGATCAATTTTTCACCGATTTCTAATCGTACACTTAACCCTTTAGCGACTAGCGCCGGTTATATCCAGTAAGCGCGTCGCATTGGCTCGCGCCTCAACAACTCAAGGTGAAGATTTATTTTAAAATACAGAGCAAGGCCTCGACAACATTCCCTTTATCCGATACACCCTTAAGTCCTTTGCTGTTCCAACGAAATCCTCTAAGATTTGAAAAAACGCGAAACACTCTTAATGTGTACGGTGTGCACTAATGGCACGACGACTCGTTCGTTAGTGGCGTACTGATGGCTAGTTCCGCCGTCGTGAAAGGGTTAAAAACTATTCAAATGAATAATCCAACGAATATCTAAATCGTCGAATGAGTGCCTGAGAAATGTGCACAGTTTGGACGTGACAAGCGTAACACAAATGTAACAGGTGACGTCTAATTAAATTCGATATCGGGTGTCGATAATTCTTACCTTGAATATATTGTAGTAGAGAAACACCATGATGATGCAAGGTATGTAGAAGCTGGATAGGCTCGAGTAGATGATAAAGTCTGCATTGTAGAAGAGACATTGGTCCGGTATTCGGTCGGGGGTGTTATTCAAGCCGAGAACAATCGGGCTGCCGATCGCGGCCGATATCGCCCAGACCAACAGTATCGTCAACCACACTCTTCTATTGTTCTTGTGCTTGGCGTATTTTATCGGCTGGGTCACCGCTATGTATCTGCAATTCAAATTTGTTTCGCGTATCGTACAGTGTCCCGGCTTGATGGGCATTACGTTACCGCAAATCAACCTGGGGATCCTCTCTCCTCTAACACCTTTCCTTCCCTTGTTTCCGTGCCTTCACTTCCTACCTACACTTCTACTCCCTGGAACGATATATTATCACCAAGCAGGGAGATACTCGTTTTCATTAAAAAGTCCACGGAGATGTCGGAAGGAAAGGTTGATTAATTAAATCGCTAAATTACCGGTTGCTCCCGGAGATTTCTGGCCGAAGAGAGGGACCGCGACACGCTCGGAGAAATTCCGATTCTGCGGCTTTAAGTAGAGTGCAGCCATTTTTATGCACCGCAGGATGCATATTTTAACATGCAGATGTGAGAAAGCTCGGGTATTAGTCACTTGGCTGTACCATTTCTGGACGAATACGTTTCCGTGTTCATTCGAGCGCGCCTTCCACTGTATCGCTCGCTTATTTTCCTTCGGTGCGATCGAAAATTTATGGATCCCGCGTTTAATACAGACTTAGAGAGAGAGAAAGAGAAAAGGAAAAGAAGCTGGACTATGAATTTCGTAGTTACAATTGAAACTCCCCAACGATACATAAATTCTCTGTAACTTTCTCAAATCGATCTGTATTCGATAACATTAACGTTGCTGTTGCGAATTCTTCAGTGTACAACAAGCTACGGGAACAGATTGTTTCGAGTTCAAGTTGCAGGTAGTCATTTGAAAGCCTTTGCCAAAATTTGATTTACAGAATTTGCGCCCGCCCCTTTCAACTCTAACTCATTGCGAGCGTCACAGAAGCAACCTCAGCCCCTTTTCCTCTGCCTTCGGGCCTGTTATTCTCGTCACGTAAACCGGTTAAATCAGCTCCGCTCCCTTTTCACGATTTTCCCAATTTTTTTCTTTCGGCAATCAGCCGAGGCAAAACGAACCCGATGCAATCGGGGCCTGTACTTTACTGCGAAACACTATCTCGAATTACGATTATTACCGCCCTTCATCCTGCTTTTTTTTTTTGTTCCTCGTCTCGACTGTAAAGGACAGTCGATACGCAAAAGCTTCGTAAATTAGTTTGATTTAAACGTGCGGAGTTTCGGTACCGAACGATCGGGCGCGCACGATAAAGAGAAGTTTTATAGAGTTTCAGAGGCGGGCAGAGAGCGACGAAGATCAAGCGACGTTTGGATTCGGCAAGGGTAAAAGAATCTCGGTGGAATCGTTCCTTTTCTTTCCCCAAGTGGAGGAACGAGAGAACCGCTCACCTGTCTATCGAGATTGCTACGAGGTTGAAAATGGAACTGGTGCTGCACGTGACGTCCATCGCGATGTAAAAGTCGCAGACAAAGCCGGGCAGACTCCACGATCCGTTTACCTGGAAAAATAAACGAACAAACTGTGAAGATTAAAGCTCGCCGCGAATCGTGCCAGTCGAATTACCTTTCATCGTTCCGCCGACACGGCTATTGTTTCGATGCGAATTAATGATCTCCGATTCACCGGGCGTTCCATTCAAATGAGCCAAAAAAATAAAGAGAAAAGAAAAGAACGAAAAAGTAACGAAACAAATTGCGCTGATATCAGTGCAATCAGCGAAACATCTATACCATGGTTGAAAATGAAAAGTACCTACTGATGGATGGAATCACGTCATTCTTACACTTTAGCCGGAAAATTTCAAACTTTACAGCGTTCATTTTTTTATTACGTTGAAAAATAGCGGACTAGTGCATACACGACGATCTTGTTTGCCTTGTCGCCGTGGAAAAGGCATTCGAAAAGAGCTCTCCGGTGAGAATCAAAGGCCGCTTCGACTGAATCAAGAGATGAGCTTTATATCTCCCCTCTCTTTCATTCCGTCCATCCCCGTACCCCTTCGTTTTCTCTTTGAGAGCCGGCGGCGGCGCGTCTTCATCCGTCTTTCTATTCTCGAAAGCGCAGAGCTACATCTGGCTGGTGGAGCTAGCCCCGTGATTTATCCGAAACAACCGTGCCTCGAGTACGAAATCAAGCGCGGTCGAAACGCGTCCCATCGCACACTAGCCTACCTACATACACGCCTCTGTCCATTTTCCGTTAAACCGGCGGATTTCAAAGCGCCTGCATTTCCCCACACAATTATTACTCCCTCGTAATCTGTAGGAACTACAGGTAAACCCGCCCCGGTACAATTATTCAATACTACGGACACTAATCGTGGGATATACCGGGAAAGTATTCTAGAATCTTTTTTTCCTTTCTAGTCGCTTCCCTTTTTCTATTTTCATTCGACCTGTTCTCCACGAAAATCATCGAAATTTAATTTAATTTCGAAAATATACATTTTTCTGATTTTTCGAGCCTCTGAAAGACGAAAAAATGTCGAAAAAATAGATACTTCATATTCAAAGTGCCGCCATTTTTTTAATTTTCAATATTTTTCTTTTATTCTATTACCGACCATAACGACATGCATACTAAATAAGAATCAATTGGACTTTTTTATTTTTGATAAGCAGAACAGCTCAAATCATGGCAACCATGGACCTACTTTCTTTTTTCATGCTCCTGTCAGACGTGTTCCACAGCAGCCATATTTAATTGTTTTTCAACAAAAAAACAACCATGGACCTACTTTTTTTTTCATGCTCCTGTCAGACGTGTTCCACAGCAGCCATATTTAATTGTTTTTCAACAAAAAAAATTTGTGACAATTCTTCGAGGACAAGTATATACATAGGAACAAAGCTCATGTTAATAACTGTTACCGTACTTCTGTAATAAATTAGCAAACAAGGCCTAAAAAAAACAACCGTCACACTAGAAGACCCTCTTAAGAACGTACTACCTTTATTTCCAACGGTTCTTCTTTTATACAATTGCCCTTCCCCTTATCACAATATCGAATAATTCCGATGCGTGTGCTTTGTTCTGAATTTCTGTAATATCGATCGGTTTTTAGACGCGTGTAATATCGATTGGTTTTTAGACGTGTGTAACATCGATTGGTTTTTTGATGGGTGGGGTTTTGCATTCCGATGTGTGGTCCGTCTTGGTTGCTATGTGTCGTGGGTATTACACCAGCGTGAATCAAAGGACGAGGGATGAAGGATTCATTTGCACATTCGTGCGTAAGGAAGCGACCGGTATAAATCGCGGACCGTCCAATTTCGCTGTGATCGATCACATTCTGCACCACGAGTCATGATTACTCGTACAGCGTATTAGGGAATAGTATTAAGTTTCGTTCGGTGGTAGTCGAACATCGCATACAGATTCACATCCTGTATTTTGCGTACGTGAAACTGGAGCGTAACACGACTTCGCCTATCGATAGTTTATGACATCGTTATGTCACAGAGATCTATATCCACGTATACGTGTGTACCAACCTTGCGCGCGCGTTACAATGTGTTACTTCTTTTACCCTTTACTTTACAGTCGAGCACGTGGAAAGCCATTTCTTTTTTTTTCCGCGGGCAAAATTTCCCAGAGAAATTGCTGAAACGTAGAAAGCAGCGGGGAAAATGTGCGGATTTAATGTAAACATGCTAGTTTTTCCAGTTATTCCTAACCAGAGCGCACGGTTCAAGCGACATAGAAACAAGCAGAAAAGGATAAAACCGCGAATGCGCGGAAAACAGGAGTAAAATTTTAGATAGAGGAAATACTCGTACGCCCGAAAATTTCACAAATTTCTCCCGCACAGTTTTCTTTTTCTCTTCTTTGTGAAAATTCCCCCCCCAACTAAGAAGTATATATCTCAATAAATTTAACTAATTACCCTGTAATTTCCTTGGTAATTGCGCCATTAGAGTATCACGGTACTTCCCGTCGAGTCGCGTGTTAATGGAGCACGAGTAGGTTTTCCTCCAATTATAATGTATAATGAAATCAAGCTATACGGTTCACAGGAAAATCTATTTCTCCCTCGACAAAGAAACACCGCCGCTTGGCAAAAAACCCAAGAGACGTTTCGCGTTTGTCATCTCTGCTCTCGATCGACGCGCCCTCTTTTTTCACCTTTATTTCACCGACTACCTTTCCCTATATTATATGTACATATACACGTACATACGTATACCTGTCCGTTTTTCCTCTGGGATGCTATTAAACATTGGAAACGCTATCGCTTTAGATCCTCAAAGGATACTCGAGAGTTAGGGGTACGCTACAGAGAACAATTGTTACATTTACTTAGATGAAAGTATCGAAGCAGCGACACATAAAGTTAACGAACGCCTGGAGCGCTAAAAGTAGAAGTAAAAATATACCTCTTTCGTTGTCTTAAAAATATAACACCTTCGATCAATTTCCCATCAAACGAAAAATTTTCTCTGCGTCGCAACGTCGCCGGTTAGTTTTCGCCAAGAATAATTAACGCTCCAAGTGATAATCACCGATTTTTATGAAACTTTCGTATATACACTTACCGACAAAAATTAAAAAACGAAACGATCCTCTGGGAATTACCGTATGTTTTTAATCTTCTAAGATACGCAGGTTGAAGTTACAAATAGCATGCAGTCGTCTACGTTCAAGGGATTCAGTTGCAAAATCTAGCTAAAAAGTGTAAGAAAATGTTGCTTAATTTGTGACCAAACAAGAAGAACGAGCGAACGAAAATTGCTGCATAAGAAGATTGGAATTTAGTCTAAATGGTTCATGGCGGTAGCTGGCATCGTTTGAAGCCAGAATCGTACGGCAAATTGTCGCGCGCTTCAACGAGAGTAGGTAAATGCGAAGGAAAGAGAGAAAATTTCCTTCGAACGAGTTGATCATGTAGATTTGAATAGGAATAAGCATCGTTGCAATGTGTCTTTGTCCACCTTTCGAGCCTCGGCCAAAATGTCAATGTTTTTGCCAAAGTATTTAGGACGAAGTAATTTAAGAGCGACATGTGCGCGTTCAACGGCTAGACAGAGTTCTCTGTCTGGTTTGAACCAGGCCTTGTTATCCTCTATGCGCCAGTATGCTCTGTGCCATCAGCCTTGCTATCCTTATTGCTTATAACGCGAAATATGCAAAATTTGTTCCAACACGTTTCACCCGGTTGGGAATAAAGTCCCTCGTTTTAAGCTGCTGAACATAGATTATCATCGCGTTTCAGTGGAAACTCTTTTGCATCTTGAAGCTGGAATTCGTAATTTCCGGACCTAGCATTCTCGCGATAAAATTGCAACAATTAGAAATTTTCAAAATTATCCACATTCAAAGGACGAAACTAGACGGCGCGATTCTCTATTAGGTAGAGCATAATGATATCCGTGAGTACGTAGAATGTTTCTCGAAACGACGACTGTACACGAGAAAGTGCTCTGCGCTGGAAATGCGGGTAATTAAGGAAAGATCCGTGGAAAATGTTATATTCTGGAAATTTTCAAATTCCAACACGCGGTGACCAGGGGATGTTAGGGCGGGTCGGTTGTTGCTTTGCTCGTTTAGAATTTGCCTGGTAGCTCGCATATTACGGTTATAACCGGTATTAATAATTCCCGCGGGAACAAAGTAGAAGAAGCGACGAAAAATAGTGCACAACCTCTTTCCCCCCCTTCTTCGCCGTTTCTGTGCGCGAAGGAAGTATGTTTTACATCTTCCAGCCGGTGCTTTATTTTAACCGTACCTTTGCATCCAAAGCCCTTCATCCAGAGCTCCCCAACACCGGGTTAAATGAGCCATAACTCTGTTGCGTGTTGCTCGGTAACGCGTCTCCCTTGTCAAGAGGGGATTCACGTCGACGCGCTTTCTAAATAGACGCGCGCTAACTTGCTCGAGGATCTACTTTCCGCTGCAACCGCCGCGCCACATAATTAATCGCAAATACGTCCGAAATAAATACCACTGATCGTCGACTAATCCGTGTGAAATAGTCTCGTTTCACGTGTATACATGTACTAAAATCTATAGGGTGGCCGTCGTGTTAATAAGTCGCAGGAAGTCTTGAATCTTGAAATGCTTATTGATTTTTGCTATTAGACGTATCACAGTTCCTCTTGACGGAACCGAGCACACTTCCCTCAGGATGGAGAATGCGCCGAAGGTATCCCAGGAAAGGCCAAGGTAAAGCGACACTTCCGGTCGATGAAGCCTCCTCACGATACGTGCATAATTACGGCATTTATAGCCGGTACATGAACAGCTATAATTAGAGAGCAAGGGAACGTGACCAGTCAGCCTTGTATTATTCCAGCGACCTTAGCAAAGAGACGTCAAGAGAAAGCAGTCGAGGAGTAATTATGCATTGTCAATCCTACACTGTATTGCATCGATAATACCGTCTCAAATCTTGATTACGATACGCGGGTAATTTGTACCGAACAGATTTCTCAAATATGAACTGCATTGCGACTTTAGGTAATCACTTATATGGTAATTGGAAGAATTAACTTTGTAGCG